ACAGTTGTAGAGAATATCATATCAGTAGTAAAATATTGAGTGCATTCAGTAACAATAACAGGCAGCATATAGAGAAATTTGTTTCCTACAAGCGTCTACATTGAACTTATATCCAAATGAACACTTGACCAACATATTGTTAAGGGATTGGAAATATGCATCTATACGATTTGAGATGTGACTTACACATAAGGTAGAAGCGGACATAATCTTTATACTTATAGTAGGAAATAGCCAACAAAACACTTTGTATAAAAAGCATGATCACAAATTAAAAAATTTAGAATGGTAAGCACATTAAATAATTTAAGAAGAGCTGTTGTAGTGAAAGGATGAAACTACACATGTGTTATATGTAAATAATGTTGAACAGTGTGAAAAGTTATTTTCGATAACATAATAATCATCCTTCCAAATTACTCAACTATTAGCGGTTCATGTACATTTCATGGTCAAATTTTCGCTTTCACTAAAATAAAATATATAAACTTTGCAATAATAATGACAATTATAATAAGGAGATACGCATTATTAGCAATTTAATACAGCAACAATATATAATCCAAAACTACTTTAAGCAGATTTGGAAGCTTTGTAACTTTTTTAAATGTTATTTTTTAGTTTTGCTACAGACTCAGAATAAGATATTACCAGAGATGAACCTCTAATACCTAATGCACTAGGCAGTGTAGTTGTAATGTTTAAAAGGAAACCTTGAAATTCTTAATAAGCACCAGATAAGCAGATGAATTATCAATATTTAAAGGAAGTATCATTAGATTCTTGGTAACTTGCTGCACTTTGGCTCACAATTTACAAAAAGTTACCCAAAAGCATTACTTTCACTACCACAAGACATAGAAGCGAGATGGGAGTATGCATAGCATAAGTAATCTCAATATGATAACAGTAATCACAAGATCTAATCAAGAAATATCCGCTTTTATAAAATTAACAATAAAATTACCCAAGTTGCATATATACTTAGAAAAGTGTGTAAAAACCTAACAATTTTAAGAATAATCAAGTATCAAAAATTTTGAAAGGATGCAGCACTCTAAGAATTGTAGGATACACGAATTGTCATTTCCTAATAGTAATTTGAAACTTAGAACAGGAGGCGCCACTACATAAACCATATTTCAATGATCAATCATTTTAACATTGCTGAATATATGTGTAGTTGAACGAAAAGAATAATTATCTGGGCCTTTGCAGAGTCTTCATAATTCATATCTAAGCAACATTATAATAGGAAGTAAACTAAAATCTCAAAAGTAAATTGTTTTAATTTGATAGCCTGATAAAATAAGCATTTCACATATCCATCAGTTTTAATAACATCAACTCTGTTACAATTTGATGGTTGGTATTGAAGGAGTAGCTAGCAGCACAATTTGATATCAAGCTATTCATTTACAAACTGAAGAACGGAGTACATTTAAGATAATATTCCTAACGAAAATCTTTGAAGAAAGACAGTAAATGGCTAGCACAAGAACTTAAAAATATTAGAATAGTCTCTTTTCGAAGACGCAAGCGCAGCATTCAATTCTAAATATCAGAAAAAGATGTATCTTCACATGGAACAATGATACACTTTGACAGGGTCAGTTGACTTGATGACAAGGTGCATTGGTCATTAATAAGCTTAGTAGAAAAGGAAATCAGAAATTCATCTCTGTTGATTAATATATTTTTCATTTTCTTATATAGACAGGTGCCACAAAGATAAGATTTTATTGCATGATTAGTAGTATCATTTTAATCACCATCAACAAAATTTGTAACAGTAGATTTGGAAATACTGTCTATGAATCACATATAAACTCGAGGAAGTATATTGCTAGTGATATTATTAAAAAGTTAAATCAGATTCACTGGTATTATACTACAATTTAGGAAGTTTACCAAGATGGTAAGAAGAGAGTTGATATACATTCAATGAAATCAGTTTGACTCTTTACAATGATCGGTATATGTGTGAGGTGACTCAAATGATAATTTGTATCATTGCCGTTAATGAATTTGCTCTCAAAAGTTTATTAAATTATATGAGGTTGTCTTTAAAAAAAACAGACTTCAATGACTGCTACTGTAATATCCTTTATTGCTATAGACTGCTTCATTATTATTAAGAATAAAAAGTGAATTTAGGGGACTTTTTATGCGCAATATTTTATTACTTAATACCTTCAGTGTTTTGGATAGTTGCAAGTTTCTGCAAACATTTTTTTAAAAGGTACAACATGTTGCAGATCTTTTTCTTCAATTTGAGGCTTAAGGATTGAGATCAGGAATTTCAAGGGCTTTGAACAACTTATTAAATACGACAGTTTGAATAATATGTTGATATATATACAATTCTTATATTCTGCTAAAGAATGTAGTACAGGTTGTATCATATTCAATGATATGAAGAAAACGATCAGGAGAATGAAGTAAATCAATATAGGCAGAATTTAAAAGTTGCTCATTTAATTGAGAACAGTGTTCAAATATCATAATCATTGTAGTACCAATCCAGAGAGTCCATTATTTTATGACAAGTTTGGAGATGGTTATATCAGTGTTTCATTATTAAGGTAATTGTGAAAATAATGCAAGAAACCGCCACAGCTAACTTTCCAAAAAGCTGCACATATATTTGAACTTTACTTTACAAATATGAAGATATTTATTCGCCGAAAAATAAATGCTAGATTATCGCCAAATAAGGATTGAAATTTAACACAATACCTTTCAGCAAATGTTATTCAATCCTTAGCTACAATCTATAAAGTTACAGTTTGTTTCGAATTGAATTGCTTAACTCAGAAGATATAAATTTGTTTAATTAGTGGCATTGAACATAATTTTTCATCCTACCAACAATATTTTATATGTAAGACTAAGAGATGGCCTCTAGAAAAATGAACCAATGATAGATCTGAGACAGAGTATGCGCACATCATTACATTTTCTAAAATGAGGCCGCTGAAATACTTGATAAATTAGAAGGCCAAATCAATATCCATCATATAGATCTTCAATATTGCGCTTTATCCAAAGAGAAATCCATTCCAAGTTTGTATTGTCATATAATTAGCATCGAAGGAGTATTCTATAATGTGGAATACATCTATGGAGAGGCTACTGTTTGACAAATGTTGATAATCAACCAATACAAGAAATTGTTTATATGAGAAGCACATTGGCTAAAAGCGCAGCTTAATATTAAATCAAATGTTTGCTATTCTTAATCACAAGGATATTATGCAATGCATTTATACATACAGTAATATCTTATTTACAAGTATTGGTAATCGCTATTTTAACTTTTTCAATAATTAAATAATGTCCTTCTAATTTCAATAACCTAAATTTCAACCTAAGAATTTCGTATATGCATCAAATTAAGTAAATTTAGAAAAATCACTATATTTAATAGAGAAACTTATTGCTAAAGAGAATTAGACGCATTAATCAAATGTATATCATTTTGAAGATTTTCTTAACCATATGAAACAGTTCTTCAAACAGATTGCATTAATGGGTATTTGCATTTTACAAATAGCTAGGTTGAACTTGGTTAACCATGGAACGTTTACTGTAAGTCTCACTATAAAGAGATGTATCAGAAGGATATGAAGATATTGACTTAGTAGAGCACTAAATTGATTATTTTAAGCTTCAAGTACATTAAGCAGTAGTTATCAAGATATTTAGATGATAACAACATGCAAATAAATCGTCAGAAGAATACCAATTACATGTTGATAGAGAACATATTTTTCTAATTGCATCCCAGTATTTTTGTTTCTAGTTTATGATAGCAAAGCATGATTAAAATTCATTACAAGTTTTAAATGAGGAAGCACAAGTACGGAAGATATCAGTTGCAATGTTGCATATTTCCTGAAAATACTTTACATTTATAAACTAAATTTCTAGAATTAATTATTATTCAAGAGACATATATAAAGGTGTGCATGTTTACAGATGTTTGAAGAAAAGCATGTGGCAGAACAATTTATTGAAATTGCACAATTCAGACTATCTTTAAATTGTAATCACTAACAAAAGCATAAGGGTGGTAGACAGTTGAGCTCTAGTATTTGAGAGACTCTCAGAACATTGTTTGAGGTGATGATGCATAAAATACCAGGAGCATACATTTTGGTGAACGTCTAAACACAGTAAGCATTAATTGGAGTGATACATTTTTAAGAGGGATAACAAATCGTTGAAATGAAATAAAAGTTGCAGTCTATGGTACAAATTTAATGATGGATTTCAAAGAAACTGATTTCCAAATTCATCACAATAAACGATTAGGAATTCAGTGCCCATCCTACAGGTAGAATTTCAAGGATGGCATGTAGGAGTGTAATGTGCATCATATAATCACGATGATTAAGACCTTTGCAAATTTGGCAGTCTAGATCTATTTGGAAACGTGAAAGTTTGAGCCTATTAATAAAGCAGCAAAGGCAGAACAATATCATGCCTAACTTGCCTAAAGAGGCAGAGTTATTTCGATTTAAATAGAATCGATCAGAAATATTTGAGCAACTGCTTTTTAGAACAGCGTAATGATTAGAATAGAGGAAAATTGTGTTCTATTGCTGTAGTAACATAACGTTGAGTTGAATTGCTAAAAATCAAATGTGTTTTAAGCTGTCCCTACTAAAGATAATACTGCAGTTATTTTTCACAACTAAAAGACTAGCAATATAAATTCTACTTAAGGTAAACAGGAAACAAAAATAGCAGAACAGTGTTTTTAATTTCAGACCTTATATTTGATAGCTGATAAAACTTAAGTGTTAATTATGTATAAGATCTTAATTATTATCATGAAAGGAAACATGTAACAAGGCAGTAGTGACATGATATAGAACCAAAGTCAAAAAGAGATGTAGTGCAAGGTTCATCACAGTTACTGAAAGTTACTTTATGCTATAGTACAAGCTTGACAATCAGTGGCGCTTGTATTACGATTTAGAATAAANAAATTTCTAGAATTAATTATTATTCAAGAGACATATATAAAGGTGTGCATGTTTACAGATGTTTGAAGAAAAGCATGTGGAAGAACAATTTATTGAAATTGCACAATTCAGACTATCTTTAAATTGTAATCACTAACAAAAGCATAAGGATGGTAGACAGTTGAGCTCTAGAATTTGAGAGACTCTCAGAACATTGTTTGAGGTGATGATGCATAAAATACCAGGAGCATACATTTTGGTGAACGTCTAAACACAGTAAGCATTAATTGGAGTGATACATTTTTAAGAGGGATAACAAATCGTTGAAATGAGATAAAAGTTGCAGTCTATGGTACAAATTTAATGATGGATTTCAAGGAAACTGATTTCCAAATTCATCACAATAAATGGTTAGGAATTCAGTGCCCATCCTACAGGTAGAATTTCAAGGATGGCATGTAGGAGTGTAATGTGCATCATATAATCACGATGATTAAGACCTTTGCAAATTTGGCAGTCTAGATCTATTTGGAAACGTGAAAGTTTGAGCTTATTAATAAAACAGCAAAGGCAGAACAATATCATGCCTAACTTGCCTAAAGAGGCAGAGTTATTTCGATTTAAATAGAATCGATCAGAAATATTTGAGCAACTGCTTTTTAGAACAGTGTAATGATTAGAATAGAGGAAAATTTTATTCTATTGCTGTAGTAACATAACTTTGAGTTGAATTGCTAAAAATCAAAATGTGTTTTAAGCTGCCCCTACTAAAGATAATACTGCAGTTATTTTTCACAACTAAAAGACTATCAATATAAATTCTAGGAAACACAAATAGCAGAACAGTGTTTTTAATTTCAGACCTTAGATTTGATAGCTGATAAAACTTAAGTGTTAATTATGTAATTATGTATAAGATCTTAATTATTATCATGAAAGGAAACATGTAACAAGGCAGTAGTGACATGATATAGAACCAAAAGTCAAAAAGAGATGTAGTGCAAGGTTCATCACAGTTACTGAAGTTACTTTATGCTATAGTACAAGCTTGACAATCAGTGGCGCTTGTATTACGATTTAGAATAAACCACTGTAAGCACTAAAATATTAATACAAGGACTGCATTTTGCAACACCTGTTGTAAGCAAAGTTTGTTCACTGAATCTCCAATATTAATTATNTGATGCGTAATTTTAGCAACATGATTTTATTTATTATTCTTGATTCATCAACAATTAACTGACCTCATATCACCAGATTGATTCCCTTCATCAACAGTCCAAACTTAGATATTACAACATATAGCTAATCCCCTAATTAATATTACTTTAATTCACCATTTAATGATGGATATTCTTGGCAAATGCCAAAGACTTAATATCTGGACTCAACAAATCATACATGAATCCAGAAGCCATCACCATCACCACTCTTTAAATTTTTCAATAATAATAATACAAAGTTATAATATAAGAAATATATATTCCAAAAGTAAGATTATGAAGGTTCTCTTATTATTGATTCAAATCCATTTGTAATTCATTCAAATTCTATTTCGTTGGTAACATTGCATAATATAATATTAAGAAAATTGTAGCTTGCATTATTTAATTTAAATAATAAGAACTTCAAGTTGTAGATTTAACGTAAATGGATTATAGAAATCTTAGCAAGTTTGCCCAATATTAATTTTTGGAAATAAAAAACACAAGCTGGATTAAATTGGGCTTCTAAATTTATCTAATATATACAGGCTTCAACTGTTGTTAGAGCTATACATTTAAATTTTTATTAATCTTTTTCTTTCATTTTAAATATTCTCCTTTAAGGTATAGCTTGTAGTTTAAATTTTTGTAATAACAATTGTTATGGGATGATCGAAACTCTTGCATAAACTTGCGCATTTTGATACTCTCTAAAGCTGTCTGTTGTTAATAGTACTAGACCACATCTCTAGGCCTATAATTTCTATTTTTATTAAAAATATTGATAATTTTGTTTCATGGCTCTTGCAACTAAAGCAAGGACAAATATTGTTTGTTCCAACAATAGTGTAACCTCATTAACAAAAAGGTAGAAGCAAAAAAGCTTACTACTAATATCAACTTTGATATAAATCAGGCGTGCACAGTTTGCTAGGTCGAACTTTTTTTACTTACAATATGGATATCAATTTCTCAACTTTGTTAATACCTTTGTTATTTTAGTAATATCTAGCAAGAATTAATTTGATAAATATTATTCTCATTGCGTAATGTTTATAGTTTACAACCAGCACTACTTTAAATATTTTGTAATCTTTGTTGTTATGATAATATTTTGATGCTTCCTCCTTTAAAATACCTATATTCTTGTCTTTGGCTAATTGTGGCTTTATAGATTCTTCCTATCTAATAATGCTTGTGCTGATGGTAATGAATGTAAAGATAGCCTAGATGAATCGCACAAGGATTAGACTTATGTAAATGCTTGTGTGTGTCAATATAAACGTTACCACCATTGTGTCCTAAAATGTATCAATAGATGGATGTAGTTAATAAAGGAG